AGTAGTATTAATAATAAAAATATCGATACACCATACATCTGTACACAAAGAAAAACCTGCATTTATCAAAGTGTTTAACATCTGCAAGCAAGGCGGGAGTGCCACTAGCACGCAAGGTGTTACAGAGGATTGAGAACAAGAGTAAAAAGGCGTGTTTGGAGAAAGGAAACAGAGAAGGATGGGGTACAAGATCAAGGTATCAGAAGATGTCGATTGACATTACACTCGAGTATTTGAAGATTATAGTTATCGGGAAAGCAAGTAAGGGGAAGGGAGTTCCACAAACGGGAAGTGCGAGAGAAGAAGCTGTTTGAGTAGAAGAGACGGTTACATTAAACTGTTTCGACGGTGAACGGGTGGGACCGAGATTCCAGCTTAGTAGCTCGCTTAAATTTATGCAGTGTGATGCCAGCGAAATTAGCTGGTCGGAAAAGTTGACGTGAAAATACTTGTAGAAGAGACAGAGGGAAGCCACGGCTCGTCTGTAAGAAAGCGACTGTATACTAGATGCCAGATCAGGACCTATCACATTGTGTATTCGTCTCTGGATTTTGTTGAGGATCTCAAGACGTAAAGCGGTAGTACCAAACCATATATGAGAGCAATATTCCATGCAAGCACGGATAGTTGATTTATACATATATATATAGATATGACGTGACATCTTATGAAGTCGACAAAAGTCGACAATTATTTTAAGACATTTTTTATGTTTATACGTTCTTTTTATAGATAGAAATATTTAAGTAAACGCTATGTCTATAATAAAACAGTATTAATAACATTTACCGGCTTTAATGTCCAAGAAATTTTCATAGAAAATATGCGTCCTCCGACAGGAATCGAACCTGTATCCTATACGGAACCTTTTACCGATCGAGCCACAAAGAAGCTTTTCGGTTGGCAAGGTCGATTTTAATGTTTTTAAAATACAATTCTCCATGATTTAACAGTCGGACTTAGTCCATTTCATAATGTGTGACGTCATTTGTTTACATTTAGATACGCATCGAACAGATATGAGTATATGAGAGAAAGTCATGGAGAATTGTAGCTTAAAAACAGTAAAATCGACCTTTCTAACCGAAACGCTCCTCTGTGGCTCAATCGGTAAAAGCACGTCAGGCTATATGACGGTTTAGTATAGGATACAGGTTCGATTCCTGTCGGAGGACGCATATTTTCTATGAAAATTCCTTGGACATTCAGGCCGGTAAATGTTATTAATACTGTTTATGATAAACAGCATTTACTTAAATATTTGTATCTATAAAAAGAACGTATAAACATAAAAACTATCTTAAAATAATTGTCATAAATATATATATATATATATATATATATATATATATATATATATATATATATATATATATATGGGGAAACCATTTTATGTTGAGGTGTAAATGAAATGACATGAAAAAATACCGAAAACTAAGGCATTGTATCAACTCCCTTCACCTGAATAACATAAGCAAAGCGATCTGACATAGAATTTACAAATTGCTGGAATTGTGTCCTAGGTATATTTTCCAGTCATATTTAAAGATTGAGCTGTTTTTATTGAATGGAGAAGAAGGGAATTTAGCGACGCCTGCAACATGTACCATCCGTGCAAGAGCATGAATCAGTGAAATACCTGGTCGTGAGAAAAGTCTCACTGGATCCGAAAACGTGACACCCACGTAAAAGTTGTGGCTGGGTTATAATACTGGAAAGAACCATAGCCATTTTAAAACTTTTTAAACATAGTAAAATGCAAATGGTTTGCAACAGGTTTTTGTCAACACGACTTCCCTCAAGATAGTCTCCAGGTTTATTAGTGGTTCTTGCAATTCCCATCAAAGCACAACGACATAATTGCAAAGCTACTGCTAGCTTGTAGAACACTCTACTAACATGCATGTTCTATTGCTTGATCCTGTCCAATACTTGGTGGAAGACAAACGTCTACCAGAAATATATAGAAACTGTCTGCGTCTAACCAGTCTACCACTTCACAAAGCTTATGATCATTAGCAAAATAAGTTATGCCGGGGCGTTAATAATCTTTCTCTTATTGGTCGGCAAATATGAAATCATGCATTGTATTGAATGTTGAGTTAAGCGCCACCATATCTGAATTCGAAAGTGATTTATTGCAATGCTTCTATTTTTAGATTTTTACTATACTTGTTGAGTTCTTGCATTAGCTGTTGACACTCACAGTTTCCGTTTGCTACTGGTTTCTCTCTAGAATATACATCATTTTTATATAGATGTCTGTGTGTATACGTCTGTGTGTGTGTGTGTTTTTCACTTTCTGCATCGCAAAGATTTTAATCTATTATAACATTTGAAAAATATTTTTGAAAAATATCAGAGCAACATATGCTGTTTTGCAATACATTCAATAGGAGTAGATAGGTTCGCTTATTGTCCGGTTAACACTCTTCACGGTCCTCTGAACAAGGGTAGATGTTCATCTCTTGTTTCCTGCTTAGGATTCGGTTTCCCGGTCCTTCTAAAGTCTACTTCAACTCTATAACCTAACGCCACCGCCTGAACTCTGAAATTTTATTCACTAATTAAATTTTGACATCATCACGTCTAGAATTAGCTGCCTATCCATCCTGATATATTTCTATTTCTTACGCTAAGCCTAACCCAATACAGTACGCTATGCCGGGAAGGACGTTTCGGGTTTCTAAAGGGGGAACATTGGTAAGAAAAAGTTCTCTTTCGATCGGAGCTGTCCCAGATTGATGACACAACCATAAGCTATCTTTTGATATATATATATATATATATATATATATATATATATATATATATATATATATATATATATATATAAAAAAAAATAGAAGTCAACACTTAGGGGCGACAGACTGTTTCATGCTAGATGCAATCGTCAGGCCACGAGTGCACTCTATGTTCACATTTATATTTACACACGCTCAGTCTCTGATATTAAGCAATTTATCCCATAAATATAGCACATCTTAAGACTATTTCTTCATATATATATATATATATATATATATATATATATATATATATGTGTGTGTGTGTGTGTGTGTGTGTGTGTGTGTGAGTGAGTGAGTGCGCGTGTGTATGTGTGTGTGTGTGCGTGCGAGCATGCGTATGTTTGTGCGTGTGTGCAGGCTGAGATTTAAGGACTGTTGGGACGTAATATAATTTAATGTACAATAAAAAAAAACTACAATAAAAATTGAAACTTACATGATAAGCCTAGTTTTATGTGATTGCCGTTTTTTTTTCTTTTATTTACAGGAAGTCAAAACTGATACGGAGGGGATCCGTGTCAAAAGAATTTATAAAAATGAAGAATATTGTCTTGGATTTATTTTCGAAATTGAAAGAATTGGATTTTACATAAGCTGGTGTACGTCCTAGTTTATTTTTTCTTATGACATTTTTTGTACTTTCTGATATTTAAACATTTGGAACAGTGTATTTATTGTTCATGAAGTTTAGTGTTAAAATCAAGTCGATGCTTATATTTAATGACGCCATACACATTAAGAGATATCATATTATCACCCTTATATATATATATATATATATATATATATATATATATATATATATATATATATATATATATATATATATGTTTGTGTAGGAAATTGTTTGAATTTAAGAATATGAAAAGCTGTTTTATATCTGGACTCGAACGTTGACCTCAGCCACTCGGGGTGAAAAAAAAACCTACCACTTCAGCACGATATTTGAGGTCACCTCGTCATGAAGTCATGCTTAGCGAGGTTAAATTTTTGACAATAGCTTGTGAGACTGATTCTCACAGGTGTGCATCATACTCATGGCCATGTACCAAAATAAAACTTAGTTCATTTTGGGGGTGCGCGCTCAGCAAAAAGTGATCGTTAAAGGAGTAACTCCGTAGATCATTATTACTGAGTAACGAGTACAATTTTTTGGAGATAATAATGATTTATTGATATTTTAATAATTAAGCCATGACTGGGAGAGAAGAAATGAATTCAAACATTTCTCAGGATATTTATGCATAACTGAATATAAAGAACATCACTGAAATTGAAAACAAGATAAAATAAATACTAGGCTTATTCGTCAGTCATATCTCTTTCATGAAACTTGCATAAAAGAGGGATTCCAAACAGCAAATATATATATATATATATATATATATATATATATATATATATATATATATATATATATATATATATATATATATATATATATATTTATATTTTTTATTTGTACACGGGGGGGTGGAAAAAACGGATAATGCAATTTGCAGAAAAAATATATTTAACATATCAGGGGAAAAAATTCAATACTAAAAAAATCCGTGTTTGATCGATTAGCACCGCAATGCCTAATCGAAAGAAAAACACCAGTAGAATAAATTAAGTAAAACGTAAAAGTGCTCAATACACTATGGAGAGCATTAACAACAACAGCAACAAAACAAAAAAAAAAAAAAAATGAATGAGCCAGTACCTACCTACAATGTTTTCACTTAACGGATCTTCAGGGTAAAAAAACTGGCTGAAGATCCGTTAAGTCAAACTTTAGTAGGTAGGTGCTGACTGATAGGTTTTTTCATCGATATATATATATATATATATATATATATATATATATATATATATATATATATATATATATATATATATATATATATATAAATATATAAAAATTCAATTAAATGCATACAGACCCAAATACTGATTGCTTCATTTGTTTATTTTCTACGGCTTATCAACCCATTGCATGATTTTTTAAAGCAAGGTAAAATTTTAGATTGTAGAATTGGACGGGAGGAGATATAATAATTTAATGAAGTCTTGCTAATTAACCCATAGCTGGGGAGTAGAGGTGGATTCATAGCTTCCCAAGAGTATTTGTGCTCAAGTGAATATAACGAATCTAATTGGAACTGGAACTCGGCTCTCTGACTTCCAAATACAAACCGTTATTAATTATCCCACCATCACATCCCTTCCTACAGCACCTGGGATTCCTAAGTGGTCACCCATTTAAGTACTCACCAGGCCCGACCTTTTTTAACTTCGCTGGTCGAACGAGAACCGGTATTTCAACGTGTTATACTTGTCAACTCATCAAAGTATTTAGAATATGCTTTTTATTTTTGTTAAGAGCAGCAACTTTTCTTAAGTGATATTAATTAATCATTTTTATATGAAATTTGAAGAAATTATCAACTATCTTGTCTCTTTAAGTATGAAGTTATTCACGTTGAAATGGAAATGGTATAAAATATGTCTATAAGCTTAAAACATTTTAACATTCTTTTTCTGAATAATCTCATGTATGCTAACCTTGTAGTGTCCCCTGTGGGGCATCATAGGATTACAGTCCTATCACGCGAGATGTTACGAGATGTTACTAACAGAGATGCAACGAAAACAGCGGAAAACGAAGAAAGAAAGATTTATAAAAAAACAAAATCAGTCAGAATGAAAATTCTTCCTCTAAAATGTCGCAGTCAGTTGCAACATGACGCGAAGGGATATCGAAAGAAACATGATGATTTAGTATACGATCTTTCAGATCTTTCTTCCGCATTTTACTTATTTTATTTTTTTGGCTTAGTTTGCCTTGAAATAAGTTATTTATATGTTTCGCCGCGTGCCAATTAAACGCCTAATATAAATATATCAAATAAAAACGAAAAGCATGAAAAGATAGAACGGAAGTTTCTGCGAGGAGGGAGTACAAAAAAACAACAAAAAATAAAAATAAATAAACGTGCGTATATGTGTGTGGCACGTATCCAGTGTCGATTGTATAAAGTATCTCACAACATTTGGTAAGTAATGTCGGTGGTCGATGTCATGTCTACTTGGCGCTTTTCTACAAGGAAGGAAAATAAAAATAAAAAGAACTCCGATCAATAACATTAGCAATAACATAACATATATTTGGCCTCTGACCAAGTAAACCAACCGATCGAACTCGAACCAAAGTTGACCTCTCGCTACTAGCCAACTAGTCAAAAACAGCGACCCATCCGCTACTCAGCAGCGAGTGAAGGCAACCAACCAAGTGAGCAAGTGGTACAATAAAGTTAGGACAGAGTTAAGACAAACCTCTCCAACTCTATCAGGCAAGAAACGCAGACGTTCCATCTCTGACAGCGATTTAAAGCACGTGCTTGGCCAATTTGGGATATTGGTGTCAGCTATTAGTTCGGATCCCCAGGGCCTGTCACCGCTTCCTCTGAAATCCGAAGGGACGCAGCTATTGGTGTATTAATCCCAATGGTGCTGGCTAGCAGCCGACCGAACGTTTCTGCAGGCCTTAACTACATCTCCCCGTACTACCTCCGCCATCTCTGCAATGGTGCCCTCGCGTTCGTTTTAAAACTAGTGATAGTGTGTGTATGCAAGGGAGTCGGCGGCTTGGAATGAAACGGAGAGAAGTGATCCCTTTCAATGATTTACAAATAGTCCTTGCAAATTTACGGCCGGCTAAGTCATCGCACTACAGGCTTATTACAAACATTTGACAGAAGTGCTACAGAATGATGAAGAGTTTCTCGAGAATCTATTGCTGAAACGTTGTATTAACGTTAACTCTAATATCCGTAAGGAGTAATACAGTGTAGAATGGCAATCATTAATGCAGGCTCGAGTAAACAAATGCATTTGCCCGCACCTTAATTGAATCAGAGAAGCAAAGATACAAGACGCACAGAAGAAAGCAGCCAGTTCAATTCTAAAATAATTCTCGAAATATACATTTTCTTGCATATGATTTAAAAAGCATAGGGACTTCTTGAGGTTAACTTAATATTCACACATACGCTGGTAATGATGATTTTGAAAGCGTAGCTTAGATGTGGTACAAAACCATAAGGGTGGGACACCCAGTGAGGATCGAACTTACTATTCAGTCGTAATTGATCTAGCGAGAAAGCTTGCTTAACAATTAGACAGCCTCAAAGTGCCCTACGATTCTGTAAGCGTAGCTTAGATGGGGCACAAGGCCGAATGTGTGGAGCACCCAGGGAGGATCGAATTCACTACTGACTCGTAATTGATCCAACAAAGCAAGCTTGCTAACCACGTCGAGGTGCCATGATCTTCTAAGCATAGCTTACATGTAGCACAAAGCCGAAAATATGGAGAAATAATTGAGGATCGAACTCACTAATCTATCCTTAAACATTCCAGGTAGACCAGCTTACTAATCAATAGACCACGTCAATGTGCCCCAGTCATAGTAGTAGTGATGAGATTAGTCGTTTACATAGAGGGAAAAATTCTGTATTCATTTACTGAGCAGTTAGCTCGTCCTGGGTATGATGACAAACTACATCCATCAGCAAGTCTTCTTATCAGGTTTGAGTAGCGTGAATCCACCTCTTAATTGCTGTAATTCTCAGGTCTACCCTGGCCCGGGGCAGTAGCACCTGTTAGGGTCCCAGCTATAGATAAATAGTTAACCCAACAAACTGGTACCAAAAAACTATGGAAGTATAAAAATAGAGTTTATAGTATAATGCCAGCAATACATTTTTGAAAAAGAAATTAAAAGCAACATATTTGACTCTCTACAAAAACCCTCTTGGCAAAAATATGTAAATGAAACCTAATCTACAAACTATTTTCTTACAAAGAAATACATATACAGTTCATACGAACCTATCCTAAAAAGTTTGTCAGCATTAAATAACCCATTGAGGTTGATATGTCGTAAAACAAAATAAACCAAACTAAACCTATCTTTTAGCGCTAATGACTGTTGAAACATCAATTCTTTCACTTTGGACATGATTTTCAGGAAAATCGGTTTCACAGGTCCACTAAGTTTTATCGGTTTTTCTAATATTGATGGAAGTTTTCCTTCCTAAATCTTTGTTTAATGGTAATGATAATATTAGCCATTTCCTGATAAGAAACAATTAACATTCAGTGAGCGAACATCCAGTACTGAAATTTATAAAATTTTTCTCTTAAAACAACTTTCAAGAAAAACAGGTTCCTCAAGTCCAGTAACTGTTATCATTCTTTCCATTACTGATAACACTTTCCCTCTTAACCTTTTATTTGAAGTAGTAATGGAGGACACGGTGGAGTAATGGAGAGCGGCTCTGATTGAGGAATCGGAGAGTCGAGTTCGAATTCCATTACATTCTCTAATTTGCTAATACCCTTGAAAAAGGTAGGAATCCTCATCGTCTCCCTCCCTCCAACTATGGGTAAATAACCGGACAGAACAGGTTCTATTAGCCTTGGATGGCAACTGGTCTACTACAGAAGAAATGGCAACATACTGCTGGAAAAAAAACTTCTTCGTCGGACATGTATCGCCTAAGCGTGTATAAGCATGGCACATAACTGAATGACTGAAGGTAGGGTGAATAGTCGATATTGATCGATTGATTTACTTTTTTTTTACTGCTTATCAACACTTTGTAAGTTGTTTAAAGCCGAAATGTATTTTGGATTCTAAGAATAATTATTTTTTTTGTTGTGACTGAATAATGCATTAAAAATTATTTAAATGTAACAATCATACAAGTCCGAGTATTTAATACATAGGTGAGAAGAGGAAACGGATCATACCATTCTTAAATTCATTTGCGCGTAACTAAATATATCGAACTCACGTTCACTCTCCGAATTCCGCTAGCGAGTTGCTATCCATTACACCACCGAGGAAATCCACTTTTCTTTAAGAGTCACATATGCACTCCATATTGGGAAGGATGTGATTATTGTTATTTGGGAAAGTTTTTTTTTTTGTCTACGATTCTGGAGAGCCAATTTACGAGATCAGATAAACGATAGTATTCTCTAAAACCTACAGGATTCATTCATATATATATATATATATATATATATATATATATATATATATATATATATATGTGTGTGTGTGTGTGTGTGTGTGTGTGTGTGTGTGTGTATGTTCGTGCGTGTGTGTGTTATTGAATAGGGGACAAGTAAGAAATATTTATGAATTTGAGATGTTTCCTTCAAAAATGAGTTTTATTCTGATTAAACTCATTTTAAAGTTAAATTATTCGGAGCAAAGATTCACAAAAGAATGCAATTAGCTGAATATTACAACAATATGAAGAAGAAGAAACCAATTAAAAAGTGAAAAACATATTCAAACATATATACATATATATATGTATATATGTGTGTGTGTGCGTGTGTGTGTGTTTAATGATAATGGCGTGAATGGGCATGAAAAACTTGATGTCATGGTAGGTCATTGACCAAGAGAGATTTGATTTTTTTATATATGTAACTTTTATATATATATATATATATATATATATATATATATATATATATATATTTGTGTGTGATTTAAGCTGGAAAATATCTCTTTCTCTCTCTTTGTCTCTCTCTCTCTCTCTCTCTCTCTCTCTCAAGTTGTAAACTGGAAAATTTTTAAAAATGCGAAGCCTTATAACAACCAGAACAATAAATTTGTAACATCTGCAACAGGAGTAATTAGCAATTATGACATTTCCCGATCCAAAGAATCTTTTGAACCAGAAAACCGAAGTTTTGACTCCTTGCTTACATATACCGAAAGTTCTCTTAAGCAGATATGAGGCTGGATAAAAGAAAAATGAATTTTAATTAGCCCCCACCGTTACATAATACCCTTATTTTTCTTCTCTTCCCCATTCTACTTCTTCTACTTCCTTCTTCACCTTCTCGACCTTCCTTTCTATTACACCCAACTTCGTTTGTTTAATTTTTGAAAAAATTATATAGCCTTCATTTTTTTTTTTCAAATAAAGCGTTAAGAGCTCATTTCATGAAAATTGCCTGAGGATACAGTAAGTTTGAAAGCAAGATAGTGGATTCAACTGACATTGCTGATATTTAAAGTTAAAAGCTCTACATATTTTTCTTACTTTTATTTTATTTTTTAACACGTGTATTGAGTACTTTATAATATTATTTTTTCCTGGTTTGATTCAACTCTGACCATTAAACTTTTTTTATATATATATATATATATATATATATATATATATATATATATATATATATATATATACACACCGCTCCAGATTAAAACTCAGTTATTGGCATTTAAGTTGTGTC